ATATTTATTAGTACTAGTATTTTACAAATATTTTACAAGCGTTTGGCATTTTTTTAAGCAGCATAATTGTGTAAATTTCCAACAAATAAAAAATTAAAATTAAAGTCAACAAACTATTTAGCTAGTAACATAGAAGCAAATTTTGTGAGCGCGTTAGCTGTTTGTCGTCACTGTTGAAGCAAATTTTAAATATATAGCTTTTAGTGCAAAAATTAAATGTTGTAATATAATGTTAACTATTTCTCTATATTAACAATGGAATCGCTACGAAATGTGTATTTATTGTTGAATTTCTAATGTATATGTGTGTATTATGCGCATTAGAGAAAAAAATAATTATATAATATATACAAGCAAACAAAATAAATAATACAATAAATCTCTCAAAAATATCACAACTAAGTTTTAATATAAAATCTGTGCAACTAATCAATTATCATATTTACAAATATACATACAAACATATATCATAGAAATATTTATATTTAAATGCTATAAGTGAATGTTGAATTTGGCTGCGTGCAGCAGGGTGAAATGTTATGTGATTTAGCAAAAGACCAAGGAAAAAGAACAAAAAAAAACAAAATACATTATTATAAACATGTATTTAAAATAACGATGCATAAATAACTGTAATGTTTACAAGCGAATAAAAATAAAATTAAGCTTACATAAGACATTTTTGTTTGAATTTAACACTACAACTGTAAAAAATTGCAACGCTTTTGTGCTATATATTGGCAAATTAACTCATTTTTATTTCTTTTGCAATATTTGAGTTATAATTTTAGTTAAAATTTTTTGTATTAACACTTACGCTTGCTGTCTTTGAATTTTTTATACCCTGAACAGGTTATATTAAGTTTGCCACAAAGTTTGTAGCACCCAAAAGGAAATATGGGAGATCTTATAAAGTAATATACATATATAAATGATAGGCTTGACGAGCTGAGTCGATTTAGCCATGTTCGTCTGTCTGTATATAGGCGAATTAGTTTTGAGATACCGGTCCTAAATTTAGCATATGACCGTTTCTTTCCAAGAAGCTACTACTTGGTCGGAATGGCCGATATCGAACCACTGTAGCATATAGCTGCCAAACAAGCTGACCGATCAAAATCAAGTTTTTGAATGTTTTTTTTTGTGAGGTGTGTTATAGCTTGAGTGCAGACGAAGTTAAGGTTTTTTGTTGTTTTTTTTTCATTTTATTTTTTTAATTAAATATTATTATTTAATTTTTGTTTGAACCCAAACTCCTTCAAAATAACCCAAAAGCCCTATAATTGGTTTTATAAAAAAAAAAATATGGGAAAATCTGCACAATTATGGAAACCTCATAATACCCAAAATCCACTCAATCCATTAAAATCTTATATTTCACGAGCCGAAAAATTTTGATGAAGTACAGTGCAATTCTTATTTCTTTATAGTTCTTCTATATAAAATATTTTGTATGTATTTATTTTGGTTTTAATTAATTTTAAATAATTTAAAATAGTTTGTATTAATTCTCTGATATTTTTTAAACTGAAAACGGTAAAGGGTGCCTAGTGTCAAATTTTGAAAAAATCGATTTTTTTTTATTTATCATATTTCAATAGTTTATAGCTTTTGAGATAACATACTAAAATTTTAAAGCGATATCTCAAATAGTTTTTGAGTTACAGCCATATCAAGTGTAGCCGCTTAGTTCAATCAGTGGCTATCATACTAGGTGTGCCCCTTAAGTCCCGTTAATTACAAAATCGTCGAAGACTTACACCACTATAAAAATAAAAATATATATGTGGTGCAAAAGCTATACGCATAACCGTCGTTTTGTTTAAAATTTCGAAAAATATTATAAATATTTATTTATATCGATAATAAAGTCCCCTAAACATAATTTTAATTTATTTATTTCATTTCCAGACAGAAAATCTTGAAAATTGGTGATTTTTCAACGCTCTAAAGCGGCGTATATCTTGAAAATATTTTTTTAATTTTTTTATCTTGCACTTACTGTATTTAACATAGATGTTTGCATATTCGCAGCATTATTTTCTTTATATTATACTTGTAGATAAATACAAGTAGGAATAACAACGTTTAGTTTGCGATCGTACTACAGAAAATTTTATTTCGTACAGTATATACACTGATGACACAAAGCAAGTGGCTGGCGTCGAAGATGAAGTCGAGAAACACGAATAAATATCATTTAGATTATCTGCTATGTTTTTCTGCGCGCCTGAAAGAATTTGTGAGATTTCAATATGCGACAGCAGCCAGACACGATGATGGCCAGATAAATTTAAAAAATATAAATAATAAAGTATGTAACAAATTAACACAAATTTTTTATCAATTAAATCATTTAATATTTATATACAATATATTGTACATATATATATTTCTAAACAAAGTATTGAATTATGTGTAAAAAAATATATAGTAACTTTATTTACATTTTTATTTTAAATAAATAAAAAATAAATTAAGCAACTTTTCGCATAGTACGAAATTTTTGCGACCGCACTGTACCAATGTGCAACTTGTATTGCGTACTGTACTACCAATCTGAAACATTCATTGCGTACTGTACGTGTATTGATGTCTTTGCTAAGAGTTTGCGTCTGCGCTAAGAAAAATGCTGTTTGCTTGCTGCGAATTCTGCATTTCTGCGCGCCTGGTGCAAATCGTCCAATTTGAGTTGCGTACAAATTTCATTGACACGGCTGAGGGTGGCCAGAAAAAATATATCGAAAAAGCTTTAGAAATGAACGCTAAGTGTGCGTGATGTGTATTTAACGCAACAATAATAGAAAAATAATAGAAAAAACTCTGTTTTTGTGTAAATTGCTTTTTATTGAAGATTCTCTTAATTTTGCATATGAAGATTTTGTACATTTTTCATAATTTTTTTGTTTTAATAGTACATATTTTTGTTTAGCTTAATGTTTGTCTTCTCTATTAATAATATTTGTTTTCTTTTTTTATATTAAATTTTACTTCATTTTTGTATAATAGATGCATTTATAAGTATATGTACATTTACATACGTACGTTAATACACATTCTTGGTATTTGCTTCTTTTTAATTTTAACAGTATTTAATTAAGTGTTCTATATAGAATTTACATTTTTACCGCAATATAACTAGGTAAATATTTAGTAAGTGCATTTACAAGTACATACATTGTATTTCTTAATATACTTATCATATATGTATGTAAGTATAAATATATACGTGTATTGTATATACTACATACATATATATAAACGCGTTTATGTACATCTATACATACATATTTATAATCTTATTACATGTAGATCCGACTAAACTACTTATATGGCCCCGCTATTCCACAAGTGTTGCTACATAATTGTATTACTCTAGGTTAAATCGTAAATATTACAAAATAATAACTATTTTAGGCTTCGCTTTTAATTTTTTTTTAGCAAATTAGAAATAAAGTGTTATTGAACTAAAATTATTTTAAATTTCATTATTTAGTATTTTTTTTGAAAAAAAAAATATATATTTTTTGTTTTTTTGGCATAGATTCTTTTTTAAATTTTTAACTGTCAGAAAATTTGCGGTGAAAGTATTTTTTATTGAAAATAATTTTTTTTGTTTTTTTTAATAGTACAAAAATTTTGTAATTGTTTTTAAATTAAAAATAATTTATCAATTAAAATATAATTCAAACTTTAAAGTTTAAGAAAAAAACTGTTAAAAAATATTTGTTTGAAAACATTTTTTTTTTAATTTCTTATTTTTTGGCATCGAATTTTTTTTAAATTTGTAACTGTCTGAAAATTTGCGGTGAATCAATAATTTTTTATTGAAAATAATATGAATTTTTCAAAAATATTAAAATTTTTTTTGTTAACATTATCCAAAATTTTCTAATGGTTTTCAAAAATAATTTATCATTTATAATATAAATATTTCAAAATTTAATGTTAAAAAAAAATTACTTTATTTATATTTGTTTGAAAAAAAAAATTTTATTTTTTATTTTTTGGCATCGCTTTCTTTTTAATTTTTAACTGTCTGAAATTTTGACGTCAATGTTGGTTTTTTGTTGAAGTTATTAAAATAAATTCTTCAAAAACATTAAAAAAAAGATTTTTTATGAAAATATAAACAAATTTGTAATTAAAATGTAATTCACAATTTAATATTTGTTGGAAAATAATTTTTTAACAATTTTTTTTTTTAAATTTCTTTTACAAATTTGCGTCAATAATTTTTTATTTAGAATGAAAAATATAAATAAATTTTTCTAAAACATTAATAAAAAATATTTTTTGCTTGTTATGAATTGTTATTGTTAAAAATGTTGTAGTTGTTTTTGAAACTAATCATCAAACAGTTTTAATTGAAAAATGCCTTTAAAACAATAAAATTGAAGATTTTTCATCTATGCCCAAAACTAAAAAAAGTATATTGCATATTTCTGACAATCAAAAAAAAAATAAATTTTCAGCGCTAATAAATGCTTGTCGAAAAGTTACAGATTAGTACGTGCCGCCGCGCTTGTTAAATGTGATGCTATTTTTACAAAAACCATGTTTTCTTTCAAATATTTATTACAATTTCACTATATGTACAAGCGCAAACTATCGATTTCAAGTGATAAATGCAAAATATAAACATGTGTGTCTATAAATTTAAGTGCAATTTGTGCTGAGCATAAAACAACAACAATAAAATTAATTAACAAAATATTTGCAAGTAATATACATATGTGTATGTATGTAAATACAACTAGACAATATGTTAAAAGTGCTTAAGTCGACTTTTGATCACTAGTTCATTCTTTGCTTTTCAGTAAAAACAAAAAAAAAAAAGTTCAAAATAATTGTCATTTATATTTGCTTGAAGAAAGTGGGTTCAAATAACTATAATTATAAACGTTAACTAAGTCGACTTAGGCTATTTTCACATTTTGTCACAGATACATACATACATATATGCATATTAGTTTAACGGTTATATACAAGTATATACCTTTTTGTTGTTGCCCGCGCGGTTTTGTAAAACATACTATCTTTAGCTTTTCCGATTTCATATTTAATTTTTTACTTTAATAAAATGGTGCAATGTGCATTTTCATAATTTCTGTAAATTAACTAATGCTATTATCTCTCATTTATGACACGTTTGCCATTGAAAGTATGTTACTTGCTAATTATTTAGAAATAAATGACTATATAACTACTCATTTTCCATTTTGATGTCATTCGCTAATTGCAAATGCACTGTACATTAAATATATTGTACATATATACATATATATACATACATGTGTATTTATGTGTGTGTATGTGTGTAAGCTTATAGTAAACTAATATGTATAAAGATCGGCTTGTTGCAAGTAATTTTTAGTTGCAAGTGGTGAATTATATAACATTAACTAACATAATAAGTTTAGTAATTAAATTAATTATGACAAATTTCATAATAAAATAAATTAAATAATAAATAAATAAAAAAATATATAAAAAAGGAATAAAAAAAAATAGTAAAATAAAAATTAATAAATTAAAATTAATATAAAAAAGTAAAAAAAAAAAAACAAAAAAATAATAAATAAAAAAAAGTAAAATTATAAATTATTATCATCATATTACTTACAGTTAACAATAATAATTTCAACAATACAAATTAATATTAAATTATTCATAATTTTAAAAATAGGTATTCATAATGATAATGTGTGTAATAATTAACAATTAATGTTATTTAATAATAAGCACGCGTTTTCTATATTTAATTTAAATTTATAACATCTTACTTTTGCGCATGCTGCTTGGATTTATTTAGCGTCAGCTGCTTGCACTGCGCAACTAAATATTATTTTAATCATATTTTACATCATACATATGTATGTGTATGTAATTTTTGCAGTTAACATTCTCCAATTCAATTTTGAAAATCACAGTTTATTTTATAACTATTTGAAAAGCGCAAACAAACCGTTAGCAGTTTTCGTTTTGACTTTATGAAACAGCCAATTTATACCGTTTATAATTATATTTAATTCTTTATAATTTTTGTTTCAGTTGCAAAGACAAATACACAAATGAAAAAAAAATAAAAAAAAAATATATATAAAAAATTATTTTTGAAATAAGTATAATTTATAAAAAGAAACCGATTTTTGAAAAAAAAATATACATATAAAAATGATTTTTGAAAAAAAAATTTATTTTAAAAATTATAAGAAATTGTTTAAAAAAAAGTTATTTTTAAAAATAAGAAATTGTTTAAAAAAATATATATAAAAAAATGTTTTTTGAAAAAAAAAATAAATTATATATATGATTATACAATAAGAAAGTTTAAACAATTTTGAAAAAATATATAAAAAGAAAACGATTTTTGAAAAAAAAATATACACATAAAAATGATTTTTGAAAAAAAATTACTTTTAAAAATTATAAGAAATTGTTTAAAAAAAAAGTTATTTTTAAAAATAATAAGAAATTGTTTAAAAAAATATATATAAAAAAATGATTTTTGAAAAAAAATAACAAAACAGTTTTTTTATATTAAAATTACTTTCAAAATAATTCCAAAAAAAAATTTTTAAATAATTTTTTTTATTTTATCAAAATTTTTTTAAAAATCATTTCTTTGTTTAGTTTGTCAAAATTATTTTCAAATTAATTTTTTTTATTAAATTTTTAGAAATAATTTTCATTATATATCATTAACTTTTTTCATATTTTTTCTGTGAAGTATAAACCTATAAGTGCTATATTAATTATTGTAATTTAACTTTTTTTAACGCAAACAAATCTACATTTAACAGGCGCAGACATCTTCATTAAATTATACGCCTATTATTAATTTTAAAAAATATATTTTGCTTTAATTCAAACGAAATTATTGTTTAATTACGCAACAAACTTAAATATACCATATATTATTATTAATTAAATACAATTTATTTAATAAAAATAATTAAGCATGAAATACATTAATAAAGACAAATGCTTTAGCAACATTATATAGATATTTTTATTTGCAACAAATAATTAGTTTTATATTGACACAAAAAAAAAAATGCGCTAGTGTGTGCGTTTGTAAGTGTTGGTGTTTCCGAAACCCATTAGCATATGTAGTGTGCATTTTACATTGATTTGATTAATTTTTGTTAAAAAACTAATAACTAGAAAATATTTATAATTATTATATGTATTATGTGTCATAAATTAGAAAACCAAAAAAAAAAAAAAACAACAAAAATTATTTTGCAGAAATTAATATAAAAGAACTTAAAGCGCTTTGGAAGACAGCGACTTGCGGTAAGGTAGATTCAACAAAATTTAATTAAAACGCACTTACAACTAATTAACTATGAAATAACATTTTTTGCTGTTTGTAATTAACACTTATTTGGTTTTCTTAAAAAAAAATGTTAAGCAAATTCAAATAGGTACGATAACAACACAAACCGAAAACACACAAATTATTTACTTCGTGAGAAGTTAAACGAATAACCGCCAATGGTTAAGAAAATCGCAACGAGAATTATACATAATTAATAATAAGCAAATTACTTTCATATACACCACGGCTAGTGCTTGCAGATTCCAATTTTCATTATTCAATTATTCAGAAGCTTTGTTGCCACTCAAAATGCGACGGAATCCAAGAGCAATTCACTTTTGCTTATTCCATTCAACAAACGCCACACACCACTACATGCTGCTGCTGCAGCCAGCATCGAACTACATGCACACGTAACTACATAAGTATTAATTCCGACTAATAACCTGACCGGTTTTGGCATTTACTAATATGGTTTTATGGCTTGGCGGCTGTGCGCCGCTGCCACAGCCAGCAGCAGCAACGGTTTGTTCATCATTAATATTGTTGTTGTTATTATTATTCGTATTACCATTTAAGTGATTGGCATTGTTGCTGTTGTTGCGCGATATGCGACGACGCAATCGATCACTGATATTCTCACAATTGCTGCTGGCATTGTTGTTGCTGTTGCTGCTGCTATTGCAGTTACCTTCGCGCTTTATGCTCAAGCAGCCATCATTTTTGTAGAGTATAATTTTGTTGCAAGGCTTTTTCATGTTTTCCGCTACTGTTGCTGTTGTTGTTGTTGTTGCTTCGGTTGCTCTGTCATCGCTGTCTAGCTTTATTTGAATAGCGCTACCGCTGCTGCTGCTGCTGCCACCCTTCGGCGCACTTGCCGCCGACAATTGCTGCTCCTTCAGCACATTTTCATTGATGACATGCTCTTCATTGTTGTTGTTGTGCTCTTGTTTGATATTTAACAGCAGCATTGCCGAAACATCAGCGACAGCGTTTCCATTTTGTATGGTATCCTGCGCTTCGCAGCAGCCGTTCGCCGACTTCGAGTTTTCTGCTTGCCGCTCATTCTGACACTCTAATTCTTGCTCGGCTGATGTCATGGGCGCTGTCACACTCTCATCTGCGTCGCCCTCTTGCTCCACACTCAATTCCAAGTTATCATAGGAGGTGAAAAAGGCTACAGATTTCAGTTTTTCCACTGCATTGAAGTGCACGCGTGTGTGCTCTTCGATGTGCTCCTGCTTGGCGTCCGTGTAGTCGCAATGTTCGCAGGTGAAAGTCTCCTTCTGATTGCTAATGCAGATATGATGTTGCAGGTGCGTCTTGTAGAGCGTGGTATGCTTCGTCTCGTAGGGACAGTAGAGGCACTTCTCCATTGGCGCTGGCGATGCAATGCTCGAGGTGAAATCGCTGCCGCCATCCACTGCCAAATCGCTGGTGGCCACCGAGGCGCTGGTCGATGGCATATTCGATGAATCATCCGCATCGGCGGCGTTCAGCTCTTTTGGCGTGTGCGTTGGCGAAGGTGAGTGGCGCAATGCGGCACTACCACCAACACCGCTGCTACCGCCCATACCGGACTCCAACTGTTTCTTTAGCAGCGAATTGGCGGTATCGAAGTGTGCTGTCGCTGGCATTGTGGCCGAAGCTAATGTGCTCATTGTGGTCGGCATGACGGATGAGGAGGATATGCTGGCATGTTGTTGTTGCTGTTCCTTGCAATGCTCATTCAAGTCATTGTCGACAATCCAGATAGTTTCGGGCGCTTGTTGTAAGCTTTTGGCTAGAGTGATTTGCATAAGTTTTGGTGGCGCATAATCGGCATCCTCGTGCACGTGCTTATACAGTTCGGCACACTTGTCCTGATAGTTTTGTGTGTGCACATAACGGTGCTTCTGTATATAAGCTTCGTGTGCGGCGGCATAATCGCAGAATTCACATTTGAAGGCGGGTGCGGCGGTTTGCTTGCTGTTGCCCATTCGTGTCATCGTATCGCTGCCGCTGTGGTACTTCAGGTGCTCCTCCAATTCCGCTTTGGCAGTCGAGGTGTCAGTGTATTTTTGCATGTAGCGCGCAGGACATTTGGGGCAATAAAGTATGCACTTAATTTGGTTTTCAGCGGCAGGTTGTGCATTTAGGTGCAAGTGTTGTTGTTGAGTGTTTAGTGCAGCTGCTTGCTGTGATTGGCGTTGCTGTTGTTGTTGTTGCTGTTGAACAGCAGAAATTTTCTGCTTCAAAGCGGTAAGATCTATAGCTAGAGACGAGTTTAATGACGAGGGGTCCTGAAAAAAATAGGAAGGGTGTAATTAAGCGACATTTTTTTTTAGAATTATGTCAATAAGATAAAAAAACACAAGAAAAATTGTTAACCTCGGCTGCATCGAAGCTCGAATACCATTCACAGCTGCATTTCTTATAGCATGAAACGGTATAAAAAGATCTTTATCTTGATTTTCATCGGTCAGATGGCAGCTATATGCTATAGTAGTAAGATATCGGCGGTTCACAGCAATGAGAAGCTTCTGAGGGACTAGTCTACGTATATACAGACAGACGGACAGACAGATTGTGGCCACGTTGACTCAGCTCGTTACACTGATCATTTATATATATAATTTCTACTACGTTTGCTGCTGAGTATTAAAAACTTCGTGACATGACACCAGACATATTTAAAAAGATAAGGTGTTAGATTACAAAAATTCGCTTTACCTGTTGCGCCTGCGCGACGGCAGCCAATTGCAGGGCCATGCTGAAGTCCATGGAATTGATGGCGGCGCTTATGCTGTTGCTCATTTGATTGGATGCGCCCAAATTGTGTTGTTGATGTACGGTACGCATGTGGCTGCTCAAGTGCTGTTTCTTAGCGCAGACGAAGGTGCACAACGAACACTCGTACTGCGTCGGCTTGTGCAGCGAGATGTGATAATTCATTTGCGACTTACTCTCCGAGATGTACGGACACATTGGACATTTTTGCTGCTTGCATTTGGAATTCAATTGCTGTTGTTGTTGTTGCGGCTGTTGTAGCTGCGATTGCGACGACTGTCCGGCAGCTGGGTTGCCAACACCTGGCGGCAAGCGCGTTATTTCAATTTGATCATTTTGCTGCAATTGTTGATGCAACATCAAATCCTCGCTGCTGAGACCAAGCGCAGCTGCTGCGGCAACGGCTGCTGCCGCCGAACCATTGCCAGCTGAATTGGCCGCTGCTGCTGCAGCCTTATATGTGGCGGCTATGTAAGCAGCGGCAGCTTGTTGCAATTCTTGTGGTGTGGTCGCGGCATTGGCGGCAGCGGTGCCGGCCAATGGTGAATGCAATAGGTGTTGTTCGTTTTTATGGTTGCTCATAAGTACAGAGTTGCCCGGCGGACCGGACATGTTGTTTAGATGTGGTGATTGTTGCTGTTGGTGTTGCTGCTGTAGGTGCTGTTGTTGTTGTTGTAAAGCTTTGAGTGTTTGCCCATAATTGGACTCATTGGTGGCGCCACTGCCGAGCGGTCGATAGACGGCTGGCGCATTACGCTCGTTGCTGTTGACGCTGCGATCAAGGGTTTCGATGCGTATGTCGCCAGCGTGTTTCAAGCGACAATGCCGCTGCAGGTGCAAGAAAATAGAGAAAAATCGTAGGTTAGACAAATTTGCTTGAAATTATTTATAAATACAGTTAACTAATAAAATGGCAAAATTTTAGAAAAAAAAATATATAAGAAACTCATAAATAACAAAATATGTAGATATGTATGATAAATAAATAAGATACAAAATATTACAAAGCAAATGCTTGGCCTGAATATACATATATAGTTTATATAAATATGCTAAATAGAAAATATGTACTTTTTTTGAGACATTTGCTAATTTAAATATTTTCACACACAAAAATAACCCATTGAAAACATACTTTTCTAATAAATATGAAAAAAAAAATGTTTCAGGACATATTTAAGCATATGGATGTGGGACAAAAATACTTCCTCGGCGTAAACACTTAAGAACCTTATTGTACGGGCACTTTGAAGAAATGAATATAATGAAATGAGTGTTTAATTTGCATGCGCACCAGACACCTGCACTAATTCATACAATTAAATTACTATACACATATATTTCTTATGAATGTTATGTTAAATGAAATTAAAAATATATATTTTTACTTAATATAATTAATAAAAAAAAATGTAACCAAACCCAAAATGAATGCGAATAATTTATTTTTAACTTATTTTATATTATTATTTTTTTTTGTTGAAGTTTTCTAGTTCATGAGCAAATTTGTGATGTTGTTTATTAAGTTTAAATATAATGCATGTCTTTACGAGCGACCGATAACCAATATGTATTTAGATTTTTATGGAAATATGTTACTAACACCGTAACCCTTGTAACACTGTATTATTTGTATGCGATTATTATTGTACACAAACGACAAAAAATTATATAAATCCAGCGTATATTTACCAGTAGGACGATAACAATTTTCTATACAAACACAATAGTTGCCATGATTGAGTGGTTGGTGTTATTGGAATATATTTTATTTGTTTTGTACTACAGCGACGTGCAACAAGCGGACGAAATAAAATACGAATTTTTTGGCGCTTTCTAAAAAAGTAGCATAATGGAAAAATTGGTAGTAGATAAAATGCTATGGAAAGTAGTACGTATACCAAAAAAAATTCTACTCTATAGTAGCTCATATAGATACGCTCTTAATACTGAAGATTTTTCTAAACCTATTAGTGTTTTAAATAATTTTTTTTTCTTTTTAAATTTCTTGGTTTCAACTATTTGTAAAATGTAAATTATAGTTTTTGCAATATTAGAGTTATAAGTGGCGTAATTTCAATTTAAAGTTTCAATTTTATAAACCTTAGACTATCAAAAAGCCCTTAAAAATTTAATACGAGCGAGGTAGAGAAAATAGTGAGATTTTTCTGTGTACGAATTTGTACTTTTTTTATATGTAGCCTGCTTGTATTTATCTATATACCTTTACAGGTAGGCACATCGAATTATATTACAACATCAAATTCTTTGGCATAACAAAAGACGAGCTCTTAGCGTACCTTTGGAAAGGAAATCATAGGTATATTAGCTGCTGCACCTAATCAGCACATTTAACTATACTAAATACTATATAAAAGTATATACTGCACGATATTTGCGTACAACTAGCACAGCTATGTTGTTGTTGTTAAACAAAATAGTTAAGTATATAGCACTAAAAGAAAGTAAAATGTATATAAAATGAAAGTGAATGGCAAAAATATTTGGATTGTTTTCTTTTTTTTTTTGTTGTTTTTGGTTTAGGATTAGTACATATACCGAGTAAGTATAAAAATACCTGAATGACATGCTTCCAATTCGATACTTGATGACAATGACCGCAACGATACGGCGACGGTTCACGTCGCTCGCTGTCGTTTACTAATAAATTACTACAATTGTTATTTTGACTTTGATTGAGATTTTGTGTGAGATTATTGAAATTGTTTGCTGTTGCATTTGCCGAAATACACGACGATGCCGTTGGCGGTGACAATGTGATCGCATTGGAAGCATAAAGAGCTGCTGCCGCTGCTGCCGCCGCCGCCGCCGCTGTTGCCGACTGAGCTGAACTTAATAACAAATTACATGAAGATGATGATGCACCACCACTAGTATGGCCAGCAGTTGTGGCACTGCTAGCTAATGTTGTTGTTGCATTTGTAGTAGTAGGTATGGAAGTATTGCGAATTAAACTAGTAGAAGTAGTAGTAGTAGTAGTAGAATTATTAGAACCAAATATAATACCACCAATACATAGACTATTCTTATTATCACTATGAGTCATTTGACTAGTAATGACACCGACACCGTTACCACCACCACCACCAACAACACTACCACTACCACCATTATGATTGTTGGACATAGATGTAGCACCGATGAGACCCATTTGCAAATGATATGGATTGTTGCTAGCGCTTTTCACACCAATAGCTGCTGTAGAATTGGAAGGAGTAGTTGAAAGTGTAGTTACTGTTGTGCCACTCGGTGTATTGTGTTGTGCTGCAACAGCATTTGGTGATGCTAGTACGGCTGATGATGTAGCATTTGCATCGGGTGCTGCGTTTCCGATGCTCGTTGGTGAACCAAAGACACTGTCATTTGTATTCGTTGCTGCGCTGTTGTGTTTCAGAACTGTTAAAGCACCCATAACCAAATTTTTATTGTTATTATTGTTATTAGTAACACCACCAACACTACCACCATTGTTGTTGTTGTTGCTGATTGTTGTAGGCGAATGCACGGTATTGCGTAATGATGAATTGGATGATGATGTGTAAGTGCCGCGCGGTGAGGTCAACAAGTGTTGCAACGATGATGCTGATGTGGGCGTACCGACCATACCAACACCACCGTTCGCATTACTGCCGCCAGAGGAGTGGGGAGAAGGCGTGGTCGCTGATGATGTCGCCAAATTGGCTAAGCTTATATTATTTTGATTGTTGTTGTGTTGTTGTTGTTGTTGTTTGGGCGACGTAGGCCTTGGGGCACTTGCCTCGTTTTGTGTCGCTTTCTGCTCACCGTGCTCTAAAATAGAAGCAGTTGCTTTTGCTGGACTCTTGCCGGCGAGCGTTAATGCTAAACAGCCGAGTGGTGAATTTGGTGAGGCACCCTGTATAGCTTGTTGTAGTAGACCGGCAGATATTATGGAATGCTGTTGATCATTATTGTTGTTGTTGGTTGGTGTACTCGAATTCGGTTGTTGCGAAAGGCACATTGCGGCGAGAACTTTGTTCATATAAATATTTGGATTCACAGTCACTTGAAGGGGTGTGTTGTGTTGTTGTTGCGAATTCGCCGATTTGGGCGAAGTTGTTGCTGTTGCTGTTACAATCGGGTAATTGGCATCCTGATAATGTATTTTGACGTGGGCGAGTACCGCATCGCGATTGGTATGTCTGAGAATGGAAGAAAAATGATAAATAAATAGTTTGTTTATGAAAATTAATGTAACAAAAAAATAATATACAAAAAAAATATAAAAAAAATATAAAAAAAATAAAAAAAAAATAAAAAAATAAAAAAAAAAATAAAATAAATTTAAAAAAATAAAATAAAAACATAAAAAACGAAAAATATTAATAAAAAAAATAATAAAAAACAAAATAAAAATATATAAATAAAAAAAAACCTATATACTAAAAAAATTAAAAAAAAAGAAATGATTAAATTTCTTATTTATTTCATAAAAAACGAAAAAACTAAAAAAATAAATACATGAAATAATAGAAAAGTACAGCTATGTTACATTTAATATTTATTTACTTACCGAAAACTGCATTTACGACAACGATAGAAAGTTTTCTTCTCATTCCCCTCCTGTCGTACGTCCGTGACGAGATCATCACTTGGCTTCATGAGCGGCGGTGGCGAACGTTTCACAGCGGAAATCGTAACTGAAGGTGTAATCATGGTTGCTTGACCTTGATCCGGATCCTTCTGCTGCTGATGCTGTTGTTGCGCCATAGCAGCATTCATCATCGTAGCGAGGAAAGGTATACGTATGAAACTCTCGTTTATTTGATCACCACTATTATTGCCACTACCGCCATTGCTTGATTTGGATGGTATCGGTTCGAGGGTTATGTCCTCCTTTATGCCATTCAAATGTGTGGATGTCAATGCATTCGACACCACACCTTTGTTAAAGTCATTGATGAAGGAAAGCGAAGCGACCTGATTAGGCGTCATCTCGCCAGATTTCATTAATTTTGGATCACCATCTTCTTCAGTTACTTTCATCAATGTTATATATTTATTGTATTTGGTATAGTTGCGACGACCGGTCTCATCATTCATCAAGACACGTGCATTCTTGTGACTCGGATCGCGTATGGTCTTTAGGCGTATGTGCTTTGTTATATCCCAACGCCAATTGGAACGGTACGAGCAGAGCGAACATTCAAACGGTTTCTTATTCAAATGACCCACGATGTGTACATGAAAGCGGGAAGCTGTGGACGCCCAAAAGGAACAGTGTGGACATTTGTATACCTTTTTTAATGAAGAATTAGCTGCTTCTTCTTCGGGTGTCATCTTTTTCGTTACCTGCAGATAGTGAAAGTTTCAATTTTCATTTAAACAAATACTCTAACCAATAGTTAAAGGTGGTTCAGAGAATAACAAGAATTATAGCTATTATAAAATAGCATACAAACTTACCTCCCCATAACCTGGCGCCGTTTCAACACCATAATAACTGTTTTCCTCACATGTGGCACTACTGGCGCCGTGCCCGCTGCTGCCGGAAGACTCCATTGTATTGTTAGCCTGTCCGCGACTATCTGAGCACTGGCTACCTTCACGTTGTCGCGGCTCACCGCCCGGAATTTTATTCCAAATAAATACACGATTCTCCATGGGATGCTGTTCAGCATTGGAATCAGCGCAACCAACACGCCCACCGTTGCTCTCACCAGAGAGCGAATCAAACGAATCATTACCGCAACGACTAGCTTCTGTGCATTGCTTAAGATGATTCAATAGATCTGTCGATGACTTGCAACGGTGGCGACAATGCTTACATCGTGTCGAACCGCTAACGCTCAAATTTAGTGCCGAATGTGACTGTCGATCATCGTCATCGGCAAAATCGATTTCCAAACGATCATCAGCATCATCTTGCTCCTCTTCGATGTCATCTTCGGCGATTGCGGCGAAATTGCAAGTTTTACGATGTATTATCGATTCGGACAAGCATTTTGCCATATGACCACAAGGGCATATAAGATTTTCATTTGGTCCAGTCAAGGCAGAGGACTTTAGTTTGTCGAAAAAGCTGCCTCCAGGAGTGGACTTCTTCAGCAATAAACTACGTGAGGCGTGACTTGAAGTGGACGCGACGGTGGGGGTAGGTGACAATTGGGCGGCATCCGTCTTCTCAAGTATTTCGGAAATATGCTTGTCATTGAGGAAAATGGAAGCGATATCAGTAAGTGAGCTGCGTGGTGTGGCAAACTCTTTGGAAAGGTTCATAATGCTGGTAACATTCACATGAAAAGAAATTTTTATTTAGTAAATTTTTTATGAAAAACAAATTATCTTTTCAATATATTCAGAATTTTTTTGTATTTTTCTCAAAAAAAAAATTGTTGTTTATGAAACTTATTTTTAACTCACCTTGAACCGGTATTTTTCGGTATCGGAATGAGATTCGGTATGGGCCGTTTCGCTTTTGGCGTTTGCGTTAAACTCACACTTTGATTATGCACGGAAGATGTATCGGAGGAGCCACCTTTCGCCGACAAGTCGGTGGGTTCGTCATCATCATATTTACTACGTTTACTGTATGGTTCCACAGTCATTAAAGCTTCATCATATTCGTCGAGATTATTGTTATTGTAATGATCTTCTATTAAATCTACAGAATCGCTAAGGAAGTCATCGCATAAGTCCGTACCACCGACTTTGTTGCGTCGTCGCGCCAACGACATGCCCGCTGCATGTCCCACTGGTGGCACATGATGGTTCATTTCGTGCACAGTCAGCGATTGCTTGATATCGGCGGTGAAATCGCAGGCGGCACACTTGAAAGGACCAGCGCCACCATGATTTTTCATATGTCGATCGAGATTCCATTTGTAGGGTGTGCGAAAATCGCAAGTGACGCACTTAATCATAGGCATTGAGTGATATTTAACATGTTTGCTAAAGCGAGCCTTTATATGTGTTACATACGAACATTTCTCACAGCGGAAGAATTTCGTTTTACAATGCTCATCCATTTCATGGTCCAACAATTGAGCGCGGAATAAGGTTGTGAAATCGCAGAGGCTGCACTTTAAGAGCCTATTCTGTGAGGGTTCATCGCCCACATATGACAATGAAACGCCACTGGAGTGTAATGCTGCTGAGGTGGCAGCATCAGTACCTTGTCCCGATGAAACCGAATCGGTGGGCGATGAAGACAACTCGATGCTGTGTGTATTGATATTAAGCGGTTGCTGATGCGCGGGTGGCAATTGAAATTCGTTTTGGTTATTAATGACGCTGTTGCTACTGCCATTTGTAATAGCGTTGGCATTGTTACTATTATTGTTTATTGTATTTAGTGGCGATTGACGGCGTTGTGTATCCGTTGCTGCAACAGCGGTTGCTGCTTGTATTTCTTGTTCGTAGGCGTTTTGTGTTTGCTGACGGACTTCAAGCTCACGTTCACGTTGTGCTTGCAATTCCCGTTCATAGACAACGGCCATGAGAGATTCGCGTTGCAGCTCCAGTTCGCGTTTCACCTAATGTGATAGAGTTTTATATATTTAAATTTTATTTTTATGTAAATGATATCATATAATGATATATAGAATGGAAGAAGCATATACTGCCGGTTTCATTGCAGAAAAGTGTGTATATATTTATATAATTTTCTTTATTATATTTAGATATATATTCCTTTTAACTCACCTGCTCATAAGTCGGCATGCCCTCATTCATTCCCATATTACTACCGCCGCTGTTGATTTCCAATGGCGCACTTCCCAGTCCCACACTTTGCTCTAGCTTTCGTTTGCGTGCCTCCCGACTCATACCGCGTTTGCCACGCGGCTGTCCATGCCCACCGGTCACACCATCGGTGCAACCGTGCACCATTTTCATGTGTCGCACCAATTTTTGGAAATGTCGCGACGCATACAAACACAACTTGCACTTATTGATGACAATCTTTTCACCATGCACATCGCGCAGATGGGTTAGGTGATAACGCGGATTCTGTGTGAAATATGTGCAGTAACTACAGCTGTAATTTCGCTTGATTTTACATTGTGGCAGCCCCTCATCCTTCAGTTCCATCGCTTGTTGTTGGGCTACCGCCGTAGCAGCCGCAGCATTTTGTTGCTGTTGTGTGGCATTTTGGTGTTGTTGCTGTTGTAGATGATATTGCGCCGCTGCAGCACGATAACGTTCGAATTGTTCCAATGTGCTATTTGATAAGTTGGTGGCGTTAATCGACTGTTGCTGTTGTTGCTGCAGTAGTGAAGGACTACTATGTTTGTTGTTGTTTAGATTATTTGTGGAAGCGGCACCCTGATCCAAGTACAATTGATTGCCGCTGACGACACTACGCACAATAAGCGTGTCGCCGGAGCGTTGCACCATCGAGGGCAGTTCCATAACTTGATTTTCTAGCCAAGCCTATCCTTGGGCATGCGCCAATACGCAATATAAGTAGCTTCCGTTGTGCGCTTTGCAACTGCAATTAGTAGAAAAAAAAACAAAGAAAATAAAATTTAATATTTCAAATTTAAGCAAAACAAGCGTACTGCTAGCATATTGTAAATTGAATATATTTTCGCAAAACTGTTAACCTCAATTAAATTCGAAATAAATGGATAATTTCCACGCTTGCTTGCGCAATTTAATATAATTTTCTTCACTTCTTCACTAGTGCGTAATAAAAATTTCTTTGGCCCAAATCTTGGCTCATACGATCGGTTCGAGTTTCTTCGAGGCAAGTAAATTCCATACCAAGGTGAATCCAGCTGAGTAGGCGCGCATAAACAACAGCTAATTAGATTCAGATTCTGATTCTATTGCCAGCTGTTGAATGGCGGCAAAGTTGGCCTGCGCAAGTGTTTGTTTATTTGATTTGCGTACGAACAAGTGTTGCGTGTGCTAAACAGCTGAGTGAGCGTGTTTATTGTTGATTGTCGCTTTTCGAATGACAGTGGGGCAAACAAATTTTGGGTACATATTCAAATATACAATATAAATGTATGTATGTGTGTTTTAAATGAAATATTAAATAAAATAAACTTGTTATATAGATTATTTTTTTTAAATTTATGTCGAGAATTAGTATTTCATTGATATGCTGAAGTAAGAAAATATTTTTTTCCAATAATATATTTTAAAATTATGTATGTCAAAACAATATGAAGACAACTGATTTGAAAAGAAAAAAACGTTAACTTCGGCTGCACCGAATATCTTTCACAAGTGTATGAAAGGATATAGAAATATCTTTATATTGATTTAGTTCAGCCAGTTTAACTGGTAGCTACGTAGTATATGATATAGTGATCGGATCTGAACAATCTGTTCGGAGATTGTAGCGTCCATGCAAAATTTCGTAAAGATATCTTGTGAAAAGAAAGTTTTGGGTCGAGCAGTTAGATCCTATAGTCGTCCGATATTAGTGATTCTGACAAATGATCAGCTTTTTAAGCAGAAAAGGACGTGTGTAAAATTTTATTGTTATTTCAAAAACTGAGGGACCAGTTCGTGTTCGTTTATACAGAGAGACAGACTGATAGACGGGCATAGTTAAATCGACTGGGCTTGTCACGCTGATCAGAGCTGATTGCTTCAAAACAAGCATTAAATCGATAGCTTCTAAAAACTGACAGAGCGTTAAAAATCCTTTAATAATATATGAATGTATATAAAAAAGGGTGAAGCTAGCCAAGTACAGGACAAAGGACGAATTCAAGTTGTGTATGTATGTATGTAAGTATGTGTAGGTGCAGAAAAAGCGACAAAAATCAAATGAAATCAAAATGGAAAATAAAGAGGATGACAAAAGCACGAAGCAATAATGAAGCTTGAGTGAAATTAGTATATAACTGACTAACTAACTAGCTAAAGGCACGTCCTCATGCAGATGAGCAAAATAACGGCGAGGTCGAGCAAGTATACTCATAAGCACACACAAAAGAATATAGCAGCGAAATGATGCATTTGGGATGACGCGAAAGGACAATAAAGCAGGCAAGCGAACAAGCAAAAGCATTAAGAAGACAACAGCAGCGACAAAAGGGACGTAAATGACATTAAACCGTTATTTTTTGTGTTGCAACGAAATGGGGGCAAGTAAAAGAGTATTCATATAAGCATATATATATACCGTCATTTTACATATGTGTATACTATATACATTGACCAATTTTAAAACTCATTATACAAGTACATATACATACATACATACATATTTACACACATATACTCGTAGTAGTTGCAAATGTGTTGGCAATAAGGGCGAATGGCCTACTAAAATGCACTGCAGGGACACTCTTGCTGCCAATTACGTCGCCACAGTCACATCCATGCACATACATATACATACACACATACTATTTATAAACCAGCAATAATAACATCATAGATGTTGTGAAAGACATAAGGTCTTGAAGGAAGGCAGAAAACGTGACGGTTGTCTGCTTTTTGGGTCAATGTTGAGTTGACATCGACACCACTGGATGCCAGCAACAATAACAATAACAGTTATTGACAAAAAGAATCGAGTCAAGTTAATTTGTTTTATCAGCGACAGTAAATATAGACATTTTAGAACGCCAAACGTTATAGTTTTGTTGAGAAAAAAACCATGCAAAAATGTTCTTTGTCTTATTATTGAAGCTTAGAGGAGCAAAAGTCAGTATTTTTTTAGAAAACATATCAACAGTTAGGCTCACCCTTCACAGGTGCATTTCTTATAGCATAAAAGAGTATACAAAGATCTTATCTTAATTTTTATAAGTCAGTTCATATGGCAGCTATATGCTGTAGTGGTCGGATCCGAAAAAATGTTCGGATATTGTAGCGTAGCCTTGGATAATAATCCATGCGCAATTTCGTGAAGCTATCTTGTCAAATAAATAAGCTTTCCATACAAGAACTTGATCTTGATCGATTAGTTCGTACGGCAGCTATAACTTATAGTGGTCCGATTGGCGTTTGCCACAAAAAAAACCGCTTTTTGGGAAGAAAAGGATGTGAGTAAAATTTCAGATCGATATCTGAAACACTGAGGGACTATATATACATATCTACGACACGGCAAAATTGAATCAGCTTGTCACGCTGATCATTTATACGTTTTCTTCTGTGTGTTACTAGCCAGAGTTCCTACCTTGCGTTAATTATACAAAATAATTTATATGTATATATCATTGTATCAGTAAATCTTAAAAGCAGTTGCCTACAAAAATAACCACAAAAATTCTATATGTCTATGTAATTAATCGGATTAAAAATTTAGTCGTTGTGGTATAAACCTACAGTGAACAAATGTGTATATGTAAGGGAGAAACATGCAACACAATGCCATTAAAACCACAAAGCCTGCATATGTATAGGTACATACTTTTGTGTATGAATTTATATGTAAATGTGTGCAAATTGCTTTCCATTCAACATTTCTGTTGAACAGTCCGTTGGGTGCCATTTTTGCGGAATAACGTCTACGAATGCTATTATTAATTGTCGGTTGCTTTAAACAAAGGTATTCGTAATTTAACAGTACAGCATGTACCATATATGTACAACTATATTTGTACATACATATTTATAAATGAAAGAATATTTAAATAAACGTTTTTCTAAATGCTCTGCAGAACAAGAAATGGTTGCAAATGGAATGAATGTGTGGAAGTGTTTAGAGGTTTATAGTATATGCATATGTATACATATAATATATACATATATACACAATACAATAATATTAGTAATCATGAGCATAAAATCCGGCGACTATGTCGGATTTTGAAATGGAAGACCTAAAGGTAATATTTTTTAATAACATTAATCAATTTATATAACAGATACTTTTTTTCAGGTATCCTTGATATAATATTATTGATTCAATTTGTTAACATCTATATTTAATTCAATTTTTTTTTTGCTATTACAAATAATTATTTTCAAATATCTTATATATTTTATACATACGTTTTTATATAACAACCATATTAGGTTGAATAATTAAAAACTCATATCAAAATAAATTTTTTTATTTTTCAAGTGCGGAAATTATTTTAATATACAGTCTAGTGCATATTTCTATCTCTAGGATATATGTGGAAGAAAAAAGAATTTTTTTAGAAAATATTTTGAAAATTCGAAGCTTATTAGCTCTCCAAATTGAATCAATAATATTATATCAAGGATACCTGAAAGGTAAAAAGTATCGTTGTTATAAAAAATAATCGATACCAAATTTCGTAAAGTTATCTCAGCAAATATAAAAGACTTCCATACAAGGACTTCATTCTGCTCGTTCAGTTTGTATACAGCAATATGCCATACTGATCCGATCTGAACAATTTCATCGAAAATTGCTCCATTGTTTTAGCCAATAACCGATGCCAACTTTCGAGAAGATATCTTGACAAATGAAAAATTTTCAAAGGAAGCACTTGATTAGGATTGTTAACTTTGTATGGCAGCTATATGCTGTAGTGGTCCGATATCGGCCATTCCGACAAATGAGCAGCTTCTTTGCGAGAAAAGGACAGGCGCAACATTTCAGATCAATATCTCGAAACCTGAGGGACTAGTTCGTATACATATGTATATACGGACAGACAGACCGACGGACATGTTCATCATGGTACTTTTTTTATATTTTATAGGGTCTACGAAATTTCTTTCTGGGTCTAGCAAACTTCATAGCAAACTTAATATTCCCTGTTCAAGGTATAAAAATAAATATGAATCATAAATATGACTATGCAATTGTTTAAAATTCCGAAAACATTTTCTAGATATTCTAATAATTTTTATTTTTTCGTGATATTTTGAATAACTCTAAAATGCAACTTCTCGAACTAATTCATATTTAAAATAAAGCAAAAGTATTAAAAAAAAGATTACTTTTTGAAGTACGTTGAATGTTAAGTATTTATGCTGCTTGAACAACTATTGAACTAAAGACACGTGGAAAATGTCAACAACAACAATTATCCTCAACATCCACACAGCAATAAGGCATAAAAATGTTTGCATCGCCGTAAACAAGCGTTTAAGAATTGCAAATGTAATAACTGAAGCAAATGCCAATTTGGTGAGTGGGCGCTGGCGTATACGTAATGTAACATTCAAATATTCGCATAAAAAGATCTTGCAATATATGTATACGCGTGCGAATTTACCACCTACATACGAGTAATTCATGGGCAGTCACACGTTGGCTCTTGAGCTTAATTCAGTAATGCAGAAAAGCCACGAAATCCATTTATTGCAACAAACTTGTTGCTTTTTCAATATTAATGCCATGTTTTTAATCTCTGGCATTTGTTGAATTTGTTCCTTAATGAAATATCCGTTACATTGTTATTTTAACGCTCCTTTTTGGCTTTTATGATTTTTTCTATATAAATAGAAAATTTTTGTTCCTTTTTGTCTTTTTGGTTGCTCGCAATTTCCTTGCTATTCAAGCACCTTAAAGCCTTTAGAAGGGAAGGAAACGTAAAAGTTTGACGGTTGCAACAGTTTGGAAACGAAAGCTGTGGTAAATTGCCACGTGCTTCGCCTTGTGCGGTAAGCTAATACTTTAAGTTGCACCAATTGCGGTGAGTAGAGTAAATTTTAATGTGCTAGTGAGTTTTTTGGTAAATGTTAAGTTTGGGCGAATTAACGCTGACAGAAATTGTGAAAATTGAAGCAACATTGAAATTTTAGCTTATTATTAGTTTTTAGGTTCACAATCAATGTTGTAATTATAGTCGTGTACAGATTATGTAGAATAATTAAAATAATGTTGCCTACCATTAGGAGCGTTACTTTTATTTTAGCAAAGTCGCACACCTCCAATAATATGTGTTTGCATGCATAAGCCTATAAAAATGGTAAAACTAGTAGTGATGGCGTTTTATTTTTAATAGCAATTATATTTCTCTTTAAATAAATATTTTTTATTTCCAAATTTTTATGAAAACTTGAATAAAATGGATTGTCAATATACAAATTATATTTATGTCTTGAAGATTATTCCACGTCAAACAACGAGGTACTATTTTATTGTAGATTTTTTGTATTTTTATTCCAATATTATGTAAATAATGAGAACGTTTTTAATAAAAGAGCGTATAAAATAGCTTCAGTTCACATATGGAGATTTTCGGAAATAACAGGATGTGTCAGTAAATTCATGCAACTATTTTATACAAGAATAAAGCTTTATATATTTATTTGCATTTTTTTTTAATTTGTAGCTAAACGTGGATTTTTCACGCTTAATATGCCTCCATTCATTCGCTCACTGCAATAAGTGCCAGAGCAGTTGAATGCCTTAAATGTGTCAAGGCGAATCGGCAAAAGGCAGGGAGTTGTTGAGCGTGCTTCAGCTTATTTAGCTGCTAGTTAAATCAAGGCGATGACTATTCAAAGGCACTGGCTCTGCCATTCGAAAGTGATGAACAGAGAAGCGGGCGCGTTAATGACATTTAATGAAATGTAAAGAAATTGACGATGAATAAACAGTTATATTTTGAAAAAAATTTAATGACTATTAAATAAAACGTGTAAAGTGGCAACTGGGGTGGAAGAGACATAAAAAGTGTGAGCTGCAACAGGAAATAAATATTGAAGCTATGAAAATGTGTTGTAAGTGGAAAATTTGGTTGGAGGGAGATGCGGGGTAAAGTAAAAGCAAAACACAGATTCGCATAATTTTACATATGTTTTGGTTTGACTATTACTGTAGGTTATTTAAAGAAACACAATTTGCAAGCGAAACACTTGGCGCTATGTATAAGTGTACACGAGGTATGCGGTAGATGTCGTTTAATGTGGCAGTAAAGTGTTAATAAATACTTAATTTAGAAAAAAATACCTTAGCAAAATATTTTCTGTTTACAAAAACAAAAAAAAAAAAAATAACAAAAAGTAGAAAATTAAACAAAGGTAATCGATGAAGTAATGTGAATCTTAAATTTTTATACAAAAATTTAAAAGTTCAAACTGACGCTTCAAAACCAGATGTGTAAAGCAACAAAAATGCTTTTTAGCAATTCTTTTTTCTTTTTAATAATTTCCCAAACTTTCTGCTGTTTGAAGTTTTAGATAAATGTTTGGATTGATGTAATTACTAGCAGCAATAGCCGCCAGCACAATGCTGCTGACCAGTAGTTAATTTTGCAAACTAATTATAACAACTTATACACATACACACATGCATACACACTAATTCATGATGTATTGACTTAAATTTGTTTGCCCGATTGAAGTTGTTGTTATACACGTATGTGGGTGTCATAGCCCTGCAGTGCGTTGTTGCAAATACGCTTGAAATTATATTGCTAATAAAATTTGGCACCGAAGCGCATAATGCGTAAGCAAATGGCTGCAGGCGTAGTGCAAATGTAAGTAGCCATGCGGTTTGGTAATATTGTAGATAGATGTGTGGGTAGTAATTGCATACTTGTATGTGATAATATATTAAAGGTATAAAAGTAATCACAGTACAACACATATATGTTATATTTATCTTTACGCGATTGCAAGTAAATGTATATTAAATATATAAATTCATATCAAACACAAAATCCGAAGGAGAGAGAGAGTGAAATATAATCTTTTTTAAAGAAAAATAAGAAATACCGTTAATTTCGGTTTCATCGAAGCTATAATATCCTTAACAGTTGAATTTCTTAGAGCAAAAAAGGGTTTAAAAATATCTTTATCTTGATTTTAATCGATCCGTTTGTATGGCAGCTGTGTGCTATAGTGGTCTGATCCGCACAATATATTCGGAGATTGTAGCATTGTCTTAGTGAATAATCCGAGTCAAATTTCGTGAAGATATCTAGTGAGACAAAAAAGTTTTCCATACAAGGACTTGACGTTGTGCGTCCAGCTATATGCTATAGTATCTGTGATTCCGACATTTTAAGCTTACAACCTTATGTATGTGAGGTTAAATCATCAATAATCGAAAAGGTAGGGCAAAACTAACACCTCAAATTTGAATAGAATCGCAAAGAATCTTCAACACTAAGCACCTTATCATAAACATATGCTACTCCAACTAATGTCTGTTTGTATATTATGTCCATTTCACAGTTTCGCTTAATACGCATGCAATTGTATGCGTGTATGTCCTTTTGCCACTGTCACAGCATGAATTATTAAGTTCATTAACATCGATATTTGGCAAGGCATGCGCGGGTATAATTAACAGTTGCGACCAGCGATTTCAAATTGCATGGCAACCAACACAAACAAATACGGAAACGTACAACTGCACATATTTGTTTATATACAGACCCAATGTCTACAAACACGTAAATATGCAGATGTTCTTGTATAGAAACAAGTATATAATTTCATATACACCCAAAAAAGCAGATATGTAAGTAGTTTTGTGGGTTATACTTCGCTTCCATAATTTCTTTCATCTTTTGTTTACTCTGCCCTGTTGTTGTTTCAATAATTTATTGTGTAATTGTTTGAGTTAAAAACGTTAATTTAGCGTCAAATTAGTGAATAAACTCAAATATTCTATTTACACTAATCGTTTGTTGTGTAAATGTAAGCAAATAATTTGTGCCTGGCGTGGCGTATACGTAACATTTGTGCGCTCACGTAACTAATTACTAATTTATGCGCGTAATATTTATGGAAAAAATTTACTCTACACATAAATTATGTAAAAGTGGCGTTGGAAATTATGCATTTTCAAATCATTATTTTTTTTGTGTATTAAAATTTCATAATTTAAAATAAGTGTTTGTGTTGCATTCGTGCTTAATGCTGTTTTTTTTTGTAACTTACCACACTATTGGCGCTTGTTTAAAGGCTGCAAGAGGAAGAAGAAAAAAAATTAAATTAGTATGAGGCTTAAAATATTGGAGATTTATACGAAAAAAACTATATGTTTGCTCAAATATGCTAATTATAAATAATCATTGTGGTATTAACTGTTGGCAAACAGATGTTGAATAACGCTAAATTAAGGTGAGAACGGAATTTACCAAAAAAATATATAACAAATTGGAAATTTATGATTTAGTTGACAGTTATTTTTTATTTGCTTGCACTTATGCTTAGACATATGTATATGGTAACTCTGTAATACATATTTGTTATTATCGAAAATATTCTAGAAAAAATTTTCAATATGGTAACCCTAATTATTTTTTTTCTATATAATTTTTTGTATACTTTTGTATACTTTTGTATACTTATAATATAATACTCTGTTAAAATATATGCAAATAATTTTCAATATGGTAACCCTAATTTTTTTAATAATTATTTTTCATGCTTGAAGACTCTGTCGAAATTTATAAAAACATATATTTAAAAAATTTTAAGTAAAAATATTATTTCGAGTTAAATTAAGAATGAAAAAAATGTATATTTTTTCCTGTTTGGCAACCAAAAAAATATGTTATAAAATACATAATATAAAATTATGCGAAATACTTTAATATTTAATTTTTATTGATGTGTAAACATTTTATGTAAGGCAAAATAGTTTTACTTCAATAATTTTGCATTTTGGTGTTGCCAAGCTACGAAATTATTTTGTATAACACTAAATGTTTAGTAATGTATATAATTTTATTTCGGTTTGTTATTTTTTATACAAGTTATATGTATTAAGTTTATTTAAAAAACATTTAAAATAAAAAAAAAATTTTTTTGTAACATTGGCAACTCTGTCAATTCTCGTAGCAGCAAGAAACGCTTAAAATTTTTCAAACTGCTAGCTTGTAGGTAGTGTAGTATAACTTTTTAAGTTTTGACTTTTAAATGACTTTCAGATAACGTAGAGGGTTTCAAATTTTTTCAAAATTATTCGAAATTTTTTTTTTACATTTTGAAGGTTTTATATGTGTCCTCTAAATTTGTTTTTGAAATAAATAAAAGTATTTAAATAATTTTTAATTTTTCTTTGAAATAAATTTTGACGATTTTTTAAAATTTTGAAACATATATTTATTTTATTGAAAAAATAACCAAATGCTTTAAACTCACAGTCCCTGCACCGTGTGCTACACTTTATTTGAGTCATTTGAGAAGTTTCGTAAAGTTTAGCACTTTGAAGTTTCAACGCCTTACAGCTAAACAGCGTAAAATAGCTGAACTTATCAAAAACCGAACAAACGGTAAACTTTCGAAATTGAGTGTCGCACAACACTTTGAACTTTTGCAGATTTCTAAATTAAGTTGTCGCTGCGTCAGCACTAAACAAGCGGAAAGCAAAGCAACATCACTCGCCAATAGTTGGTGGGTTGCTGAGTTATCAGCATTGCAGGTAAGCAAATAAGAAAGCAAAGAATAGCGAGAAAAATACGCCTAAATGGATAAACAAATAGCAAATCAAAGTAAACAAGCAAAGTTTCTTGTTTGTTGTGCAAATAAAATGATTGGAAATGGCAACGGCGGAAATCGAAAATTAAACACCGGAAATACGACAACCCAAATGTAGCAGTAACAGACGGCAAATTGGCGGGTAATAGCAAAGCAAAAAGATAAAGTACAAAAAAGTTGAAATGCGAGAAACGTGAGATAATCGCAAAACACTTTAAAGGAAAAGAAAAATGGGAACAACTCAGACAAACCAGCGCAGCGTCTTCAATTGAAAAGTTAAACTCAAAGCAAATCCATGAAAAAATGCGGTTAAAGTGTCGCTCCTGACAATTGACTGGAAAACTTTGTGCCTGTAGGTATTAATGTATCCAAAACAAGTCAACAGTTTGTTTTTCAAGTAATAGGACGCTCAGTGTTATTCAATTGAACGCCTCTGGGGCACAAACACTGCTCCTTTAAGTCGTATTGGCGAGAAAACTACTATTTACTATTACTAGGCAACCAGCTAACGAGACGCCTGACAACAGCCACAAGTGAACAGACGACAAATAAAAATTTGTTACATAACCGAAATGCGAAAATCGCAAACACAGAAGATAAGGCAAAAATAAAGAAACTACAGAACTGTAGCGACAAACAATTATCATTGTTGGTGACCAAAAATACAAGTGTTAACATTTTTTTATATTCATATGCTTTCAACGGAATTTGTTGAAGTTTGGAATACTGAAATCACGGATTTGAAGTTTTGGGTTTTCGGTACCACAAGCTTATGATATTTTCATCATATGATATCATAAATAAAAATAAAAGTATAGTTAAAAAAAATATTAAATCCCGAATTAGTCCCGAAAGGCCAGTGTTTAAATCCCGAAATCACGGGACTGGCAAAATTGGTTGTAATGCCTCTGGTGTTCATTTATGAAAAAATTAGAGACATTTTTCTTTTTCACATAATTTTCGCTTTCCCTAACTTTACTTCGCTTGAAATATATAAAATTTAAAACTTTTTCCTTAGAAAAAAGATTTAGTAACGGCTTGTAAATTTTCGTATTTTAGAGGATATGAATGATCCTTTCGCTTAGTCAAAAATCGTTTATTGACGATGCGTCAAAAATATTATATTAAAATATTCTATACCATTTTTATTACTAATAAAATAAATAAGTGAATAATACTTTTTAAATAAAAATAATATAATAATAGTTTCTGATGTCCTTGTGCTTTTCAAGTTCGTAATCTTATAACGGAAATTTCCGCAAATGCAAATGGCACATGCAAACAACCTCTAACATTCACTTCACATGCAACACATTTTCCGTACAATTACAAAAAAAAAACCAAAAAAAAAAACAACACAAAAAAAAACAACACAAAAAAGTGTCCACGAAATGCCACAACAGCCGTATCACTTATTTGTTTGCTGTCACTGTTAAAAATTGCCACGCACGCTATGCTATCAATAGCTGAACGCACTTATGCAAAAACCTGAATTTCACACTTGTCATGCGTTGTAGCTAAGGCGAACTCAAAAAACATCGAGGAAAAGAACTTTCAACACTTGCTTGCATATGTTCGCTTTTATTTCCGTTTTTTCGGCAGATTTATCGTTTTTTGTTTGGCGCTCTTTTCGGCGCTCACACAATATTTTCGCTCTTCAAATGCAGCCGCTCACTTCTACGCGATTTCTTCGCTATTAGATGATACACACACACACACACAACTACCAAATACTAGCACTCACTTCCTACACTTCCTTTTTTATAATTTTGTTTAAATGTTTATTTGGTTGCTCGAAATTGATCCTTTAGCGTTCTACGTTGCCACAACACGACACTTCTGCAGTCCAACAACAACTGAGCGCAGCTAACAATTGCTGATGCTGATGGACTCTTCTTTTAGATGGGCTGCTGTTGTTAATGTTGGTCGCAACTGTAATTGCTGCTGCTCTTGCTTTTGCTGTGTCCTGCTGCTTGCGCTGTTGCTCCTGTTGGCTTAACATTGTTGTCTGCAGCGGCCGCTGTTGGCACGCTTTTGTGTTTTCTGCTTTTGACGAGTATAATTGGTGCGCATTTCTCTTGGATTGCTCTCTCAAACGCTCTCTTATGGACATGCTGTTGCTGAGTTGATGTAGCATCATTTCTTACAGCAATTGCTTTCTTCTTGCTGTTTTGGTCCATTGAAGTTTTCCGTCTGTATTTGGACTCTTTATATGTTTTATATCTACGGCTTCGCTCTTCCTCAATGTTGTCTGCATTGGTGAAATGTGACTAACATCCATTCTTACTGATGGTAAGTGCTCCAAAGACTGCTTCTAAACAAGCAGTTTGCAAGAATGTTAAGTAACAGCATAACTGTTAAGCAAATGTTAGAGCCACAGAAGTAGTCAGAAGGCAACAGCAAGTTTATGCTAATCGTTAATATTGACAGAAGTTGTTGTACATTTTGTGAAAATTATAAAATATTTGTTTGTAAATATTTTTTAATAAAATATTTAATACAAAATAATCACAAATATAAAATTGGTTTAAATTTCAACGCTATTATGGGAGCAATTAGGTTCCATAAAGCAAGAGTTAAGTGGGGTGTAAAGCCCGTTCCCACGACAGTCGGTTCTAAGTAACCGGAATGGACCCGGATTCGGATAAAAATCCAAGGACTGTCATCGAAATTACTTCATTTTCTACTGCTACAACAAAAACATGCGTGTAAAGCAGTAGCTTATATGTATTTATCCTCATAATGATGAATTTCTTCTTTTCTATTTAGAAATAAGTTGTTTAGAATAAAAAATTCTTTATACTTCCTTCTATTCCTCCTAAGGAAATAATCAATATTTAAGCATTACGTAGCTTTTAAGGGGATATTCTAGTATTGAAAAAAATAGCCATATCCACAAGTTTAAATTTTTAATATCTTTAAAAAATTCGAAACAGTCAAAAAAAGTGGTAAAAAAATTTTTTGTTTTTGTTTTTCAGACAGTCGCCATTTCGTAAAAATATGTTTTTCAAACTTGTCTGTAGTTCCAGACATTGCGACATTCTTCTAGATCACTATTTTTATTTTTTTGTTTCATATTGCTAGGAGGGTTGAAATCGTAGGTATAGTCACGTGCCAATTTTTTGAGACCCCCCCCTCCCCCCTAACTACAAACAAAAAAGGTTAGTAAAAATATATAGTGCCTTTTATTTTTCGACACTTTAAAAATAATCTAAAATGAAATCCCTTTAACAACAAAATTTATATTATTTGTATATATTTTTTTATCTTTCAAGTGCTTGATAGTCTTTGTTGGGGCACACGGCCAAACGTATGATTACATTAGCATAGAAATGGATAAAGAGATGATTACACTAACATTAACATTCTATTTCAAAACAATATCAACGACTTAATAAAAAATATTCAACTCTGCAACTCAACTCCAGTTCTATATTAAAAATCAAATTGATACTTAAGAGTGGGAAACTAAAAGTTGCC